TTGGGATTCTCTCTCTCTCCCTCGCTCTCTGCCCCTCCTCTGCTCATGCTCGGTCTCTCTCAAAATAGATAAATGAAGTTAAAAAATTTATTTTATTTTATTTTATTTTTAATGTTTATTTTTGAGGGAGAGAGATCTCAAGCGGGGGAGGGGCAGAGAAAGAAGGGGAGACAGATTCCAAATCATTCTCTGCGCTGAAGCACGGAGCCCAATTAGGGGCTTGCACTCCCAAATCGTGAGATCATGACCTGAGCCGAAGTCAGATGCTCAACCGACTGAGTCACCCAGGCGCCCCCCCTAAAACTTGTTCAAATAAAATACTTACGTACAAAATAAAATAGAAAATATACAATATGTTCTATACTTTATGTTACATGTAAAAACACACAATTATACATACGATTATATGTAATTGCACATAATTGCATATATAACACAAAACATACAATAGCATAATGTATTAATAAAGAATATGTAAATTAACGGGGCTCCTGGGTGGCTCAGTCGGTTACGCATCTGACTTTGGCTCAGGTCATGATCTCACGGTCCGTGAGTTCGAGCCCCACGTCAGGCCCTGTGCTGACAGCTCAGAGCTTGGAGCCTGCTTCGGATTCTGTGTCTCCCTCTCCCTCTGTGCCTCCCCCACTCGCAGTCTGTCTGTCTGTCTGTCTCTCTCTCTCTAAAAATAAATAAATATTAAAAAATAAAAAAGAATATGTAAATTAATAAACATAGTAACACAAATATAACTTATATGTAAATGTACAATTCTATAATATGACATATTACATAATTGTCATAATATGATTTTAAATGTATAATATGATTAATAATACATATCATACATGTAGAGAATGGAAAACTATTGGTTCTGTTTCTCTGCAGAACCCTGACTGATACAAGAGAGGAGAGATGTAAACACTGAGTAAACAAACAGTTGGAGGAAGCAGAAGGTGATACCTGCAACAAAGAAAATAAGAAAGAAGAGGGAGGAGGTGAGGCACAGTAGTGGCAGTCAAGGAAGGCCTCTTTGAGGAGGTGACTTAAAAAAAATATTTTTAATGTTTATGTTTGAGGGAGACAGCATGAGCAGGGGAGGGGCAGAGAGAGAAGGGGGACAGAGGATCCAAAGAGGGCTCTGCACCGACAGCGGCGAGCCTGATGTGGGGCTCGAACTCACGAACTGTGAGAGCAGGACCTGAGCTGAAGTTAGACGCTCAACGGAGGGAGCCACCCAGGCGCCCCCAGGAGGGGACTTCTGTGTAGAGAGAAGATTGGGGGAAGGGCCTTCCATTTGGGCAGAGGCCCTGAGGCCGGAAGATGCTTGGTGAGTCCTAGGAACAGACCAGAAAGCAGAGAACTTCTCCTGAGTTGGAGAAGCCGACTGAGCAGGCCTCCAGGCTCCCCGGAGAAGAAGCCCGCTGTTTCCCAACAGGCCCTAACCCCGCCGGCCCACAGGGCTGCGGCTTTCAAGGCCAGGTGGAAGCTTGCTATTTCCTCAAGTCCCAGGAAGGGCTCATTTTGTGCAGAGCTGAAGCCTCTCGGGTAAACTCAGAGCGGACCCGGATGGCTCCCGGAAGCACAGCGCTTGCTTACCTACAGTGGGCAAGCCACCTGCAAAGTGGGCTTTCTTTAATATGCAAGGTGCACCGTATGACTTTCATCTTTCTGTGCTGGGTTGAATTCTGTTCCCCTCCCCCAAAAGATAACTCAAGTCCTACCTCCCAGCACTTGGAATGTGACCTATTGGCAACAGGGCCATTGCAGATGTAATTAAGTTAAGAAAAGGTCAATTTAAAAAATAATCTTAAAAAGGGGCGGAGGGGGGCGCCTGGGTGGGTCAGTTAAGTGTCTGACTCCGGCTCAGGTCATGATCTTGCGGTGCGTGGGTTCGAGCCCTGCTTTGGGCTCTGTGCTGACAGCTCGGAGCCTGGAGCCTGCTTCGGATTCTCTCTCTCTCTCGAAGAGGCTATACTTGATTAAGGTGTCCGTCAGTCCAGTGAGTGTTGTGCTTATGGGAAAAGGGGAATTTGGACACAGACGCAGGACGTGTGAGGATGTGGCAGAGATGGGAGAGATGTGTCCATAAGCCAGGGATCACCCAGGGTTGCTGGCCACACCAGAAGCTGGGAGAGGTGGGAAGGAGTCTCCCCTTCAGGGGCAGCAGGGCCCTGCTGACACCTTGATTTTGGATTTCTGGACTCCAGAAGTGTGAAACCATACATCTCTATTGTCTGAGGCCACCCAACATGGCAACCCCAGGAAACTCATGTACCCCTGTGGTATGAAATCCAGATCTCTCACCTGGGCATCCCACCAGGATGTGGCGTCGGTGAATCCTCCAACCCCGTTCTCACGACCTAGCTGGGCTCTTGTGCTACATTCCCCATCATGCCAAGGCCTTCCTTGCCCCAGTGCCTTTGCACATCTCACTTACTCTGTCTAGAGTAAATTTGCTTAGCCTTTAAGGCTGGTTCAGTGTCCTCCAGGAGGTTCTGACTGAGTCTGGCCTCTACCCCACCCTACACTCTGCCCCAGAGCCCACCATGAGCACTCAGTCCGTGGTACGTGTGCTAATCGCTTGCTTCCTGGGCAGACTGTGAGCCGTTGAAGGGGAGGAAGCGTCTCTTCCTATCTTGCTTTGGTGAGTCACAGGCCAGCCCTCAAAGAAGTGGCTTGTGGAAGGACAGGGGGAAGGAAGGCACATCACATGAGTCAGAGAGGCACAACCCAGAAGGCCTGTCAACCTGATGCAGCTCTACCCTCAGATTCTAGCCTCAGGGTTGAGGTTTCTCATGATGTGAAACAAGAGAATTGGGAATAAACTTTGACCATGCCTCCTGCTCCCTCCTCCCCTGCGCCCCGCCCAACCTGTGCTCCAAGGGCATCAAGCTTGGGCACTGCTTGCCTCAGTCTCCCTTCAGGGAGTCTCTGTTCCCAGAGACTCCTTCCCAGTCTCTGTTTCTGCCTGACCAAGGCCACTTCTGGTGCGTGGCAACCACAGAATCTCTTTCTGGGTAGAGGCATGCTTTTCTGATAGCCATATGACACCCACAAAGCTCAGGCAAGGGAACCAGAGGGGATACTTCTGTGGGGCCTAAAAAATTATTTCTTGGCAACTCTGGTCGTTCTTAGATGCCCAGACAAATAAATGTACCCTTTTTCCTTCTCTGCAATTTCCAACACCTCTGTCCCTTCCTGTCACTCCTGTCTCCCCCAGCACCATTGTCTCCGGGAGGGTCAGAAGGCCTGGGGTGGTAAGCAGAACCATGGACAGCGGCACCACAGCCGCCCTCCCCCCGCCCCCGCAGCAGCCTGACTCCACC